CTAATGATATCTTCTGTTCTTTAATTGCCATGTGCATTGCTAACAGTGGAGCTATCTCAGCCGACAGGCTGCTTGTTTAGAATAGTGTTTTATTAGTCCCCGTTCGGACGTAGTCCGAAAACGGGACATAGTCCGAAAACGGGGACTTATGTTTTGCCCTGTGTGCGTCCGTACGTGCGTTCGTGATCACCTGTATCTTGAACATACATGATCCGATTAAGTTCAAACTTCACTCATAGATCACACATTATATGGGACATATGCACATGCATTTTTTTCATGATCCGATTAACGATAGCCGAATAGCAGCCATTTTAAGGCCGAAAATGCATCAAAATTGCACATTTTCACCATTCCGGACCCGGATCTCAGTTATGCATGGACGGATTTTGTTCAAATTTGGTACATACATTAAACATAATAGGACCTTGATGCACGTCATTTTTTTTTTTTTTGGATCGGATTTGAAATGGCGGACTGGCGGTCATTTTGTTTTAAAGAATTCAGTTCTGGATCCGTATCCAAGACATGTCTGGATTGATCAAGTTCAAACTTCACACACACATGGTACATCATGTCACAAATAAATATGTGCATTTGTTTCATGATCTGCTTAACAATAGCTGAATGATGGCCATTTTAAGGCCGAAAATGCATCAAAATCACATATTTTTACAATTCCGGAACCGGATCTCAGTCACGCATGGATGGATTTTGTTCAGATTTAGTACAATGTGTTGTACATATGCAGGTGCATTTCGGTCATGATCTGCTTTGAATGTATATGTCACTCAAATATGAACGGAACGGGGACGTGTCATTGACAATGACTTGTTTTAATTAATTTTGTTTATCTTAAGGGCAAAAGTTAGTAAATATTGTTTAATTCATGAATTCAAAACTGGGGATGCTATATGTTTTCAATTTCAATGCTTAATTTGCCACAGAAAAACCAAAGAAATTCTGTGCAATGCCACATTTATTGTATCCCGAGTTTAAGAAAGAAGCATTGCTGTAAAGATATGGGTGTTGTCTTTGAATAAAACTGAGTTATTTTGTTTCTGTAGATTCGCCATACACATGTACAAGATGGTGAAGCTGGCGGTATTACACAACAAATTGGTGCTACAAACATACCAGTGGATGTCATACGTGTACAAACTAAAATGTGTAGAGAGGTACGTCATTTAATCTTCAGATGTTCCTTTGTAAACACATCAAATGAGTTCTCAGTCAAGCATCTTCTAGATCTACCGTTAAAGTCCTATTATAAACCGCGGTTTATATTACAATGTATCAATTTAAAAATTGGGATCAAAAGCTCAAGTTTGGGGTGCGGTTTCTATTACGTACATATTGCAATCACTAAATGGGCGTGGTCATTTTTTGTCCACAACACATGCACAAAACAAACAATAGACCGTACAATCTCTTGAATAGGCGTCGGGGAAGAGTGAAAGGCCTTATTTTGGTTCTAAAATAGGCGTTACGAAATGTTGAAAAATTACAGTCAATCAAAAAAAAAATTCAACATGATACAAAAAATACTCGGTATTTTTAATGTAATATGCATTTATTTTGTTAATTTTCTTGGTAACGAAAAGTATATTCTAACAGAAGTTTCAAATAAAAACACGAATGCACTGCTTAGTAGCAAATGATCACATAACGGTAGCTCGATCCGGCCATGCTGCGGGTCACAAGTAAATAACTTACTTGTTTTCGAAGTGTTGATATTCGTGATTATTATTTAGTAGTGATTACAATAACGCACGAAAAATAAATTCGTTGAATTGTTATAAAATGCAAGTAAAATTCAACTTAGTTTCCCCGTAAGCGAATGATTTCAGTCACATGTAAACAGCCGATACGATATCCGCCATGTTTTTGAATGCTCACGGGACGTATTATTGATCGGATAGGTCAAGTCGCTATTAACCAATCAAATGCTGGATGGTG